AATTACCACCACCTCGACAACCACCTCGACAGACACCACAACCACAACCACAACTACGACCACAACTACAACCACAACCAGTACGATAACCTCAACAACCACAACCCCAACCACTGTCACCGAAACCCGCCAGATAACCTCCATCGCAGCAGGAGTTACCGTAACCGCTGCTCCAGGCGCCACCCCATCTCAATACCGGATCATCGGTGCGGATGGGCAAAGGGAGCTGATAGATGACGACAAACGTCTCTGGTTGGAACCTCTAAAGATCATTTTCCCTTGTATGGCAGGCTGGTGTATTATGGTCACGTTTTTGTGGCATCAGTGTTTGGTGTTGCCGGGTAGTGCCATGGCAGGGGCGGCGGGAGGTGCGGCGGCGGGTGTGGGAGGAGGTGCGGCGGCTGGAGCCGCTGTTGGGGTTGGCGGGGGTGCAGTTGGAGCCCCTGGTGGGGCTGGCGGGCTTGGTGAGAGTGGAGGGGTTATAGCGCCTGTGGAGGCTAGATAGGTGTTGTTGTTTTTTTCCTTCATCTCCGAGCATGATGGGAATGCTTAATGTAATGATATGATATGAGCACGGTATATGGAGTTATTTTTAATGATTAATTGAGAGCCCCTTGCGAACACGGCCACCATTGCATGACACCAAGATCTAAGGAAAAAAGCTCAAATTCGATGACAAGTTATGTAATAGCAGTCATGTTCACAAATCTCGTTCTATCAGGGGTACGGATCAGATCTGGAGTTGAGGTTGGGATATGATACCGGTGGTCTTATCCTACAGTGAATCCAGCGCAAATGTTTTATTTCCTAAGCCTGTTCCATATAATAGATAATGCACCCAACCTATCTTGCTACAAAAAATGTGCGGTTAACCGCCCTGTTCCTCTTCTCTTTACTCCCCACCCCTCCTCCACTTTCATCATTCTGCTTCTCTTCGCGATCTGAAATTTAGGCAAAGTGCATAAGCACCTATTATAACTTTATCCAACTAATCCGAAAGAGCCCTACTCGCTTCTCCACTTAAAACCCCAGCCAATTATCAATAAAACCCGCATATCTCCCGGGCCTATCCGGTCCTCAGCCCAACCGATTAACCCGCCCCTCGTCCTCTCCCCCCCCCTCACGCCAGATTCAGCCAGGCTCCATCGAATGTGATAATATTGCCTAATAAACCCTGCTCTGTGCCTTTACCATAAGTCGCAAAAAGACCCACTCTCCTTTCCCCCTTCACCAGATCTTCACTCTGATCATGCTATTCGAACTCGGCCCACGCCCGCCCTGCAGCGGCGAACAATCCCATTCCAGATGCGGTTTAGACGGGGTGCTCAGACCTCGACGCATGC